AATATAAATTTTATATATATTATGTATATTAATACAAAATTATATATATAATACTCTATTATAAATATATTTTATATACATATATTATTTTTGTATAATATATATGGAAAAAAGTTATTACATTATTAAATATTATTAAATTATTATATTACATATAATTTGTACATGTAAATCTATGTATATGTATGTGTGTGTGTATTACATGATTCTATGAATAATTAAATAATTAAAAGTTGAGTAAAAATTAAAGCAAGGAAAATATACCATTTTTTAAATTTAAAAACGATGTAAAACATAACACAGAATGAAAAAGGAATCTATCCCATTAAGGTTTTTACTGTAATTTTTTCGCACACTCTATTTAAATGTGTATCTAAAGAAAAATCAATATCATTAAGAAGTTAAAACTGTAGTGAAGTCCACGAACATTTTAAATGGTTCTTTTGAAGATAGGTATACAGAAAAAGCTTAGCTTTAATGAATTGCAATTCTTTTAGTTTTAAATTTGTATGAAAATGTGACGCTGACAGAACTTGAATCTTGAATTTTAATCTTATGTAAAATACACTATATAGTAAAAGCAATTATAAATAACTATTGTATTCTCGTATTTTACTGACATATTCCTTAATATAATGCAATTTAATATAATGATTTCGATGTAATAATTTTTATATAATTATATACTATATTACTATATATTATCACATATTACTATATATATCACTATATACTATATAATATTATTATAATACTATACTACATATATTATACTTGTCATTATCTATATTATCTAATATATACTATGTATAATTTATAATTTATAATTTTATTTATTAATGATTAAGATGAATCTAATTTTATTAATTAATGATCGCATCGATAAATTATATTTACAAATTATATTTTATTATTCATATTAATGTGTATAATCCATTGATCACTTGCTTAGATAGATTTGTCGCTTTTTTCAGAAATTTGTTAAACAGTTTAATACAAAAAAAAAAAATTTGTTCAAACTACTTTTTAAATATTGTTAATATCATTATTTTAGTCTATAACTAAAAAATGAATAATGTTATTTTATTCAAATACAATGAACCAATCTGTACACGTATATACAATTAATTATAATTATATTTCATTATATGTCAATGATAAAAATCAATAACAAAATTTGAAATTTACATATAAGAAATCTAGGGAATTATTTCATATTGAAGATTGCAACAAAGCGAATGAAATTTATTTTTAAAATGCTAGGAAATTCGATGAAATTCTTAGCACGTTGGTGAGTACGCACTCGTACGAAAGTTGTGTTGAAAACGAAAAACTTTCAAGGCGAAGGTACAGGTAAGAAAAAAGAAAACAGAAGCTAAATCATGAAAGTTTGCTGAAGCTACATGGAAGAACAGTAATCTATTAAAAACTATGAGGAACATAACAGTTTCTTTATAAAGGTTAAAGTAAAACAAAATCTTTGAATCTATAATTAAATAAAACACATAAAAAATGTTGCCTTTATCTGTTTCATAAATTAACGATTGAACCTAAACGATTTTAAAAGATCAAAAATACGTTCAAGTATACGCGTAAAAATAACTATAATTTATTTACTTTATTTATATCTATATAATTATTATACTATATAAATAAATTCTATAATTCATTTATCTTCCAAATTTAAAATTTTGTTACACAAAAATTGTATGTACATACCTTTATACTTTTATATATCCAATTATGCTTTTTTAGCTTATTTTATATCAAAATATAATTATAAAATAAAATTAAAATCAACGATCAATAAAATCACTTCATTTATGTTTCACATGTTTATATTTTCCACGTAAAATATTTTTTTGCGTTTATTTCTACATATGCAATATATAGTGTCTTTTTACATTGTATACTATAACAATTATTTACTAAACAATTTAATATAATTAAATTATGATAAATTATTTGGTACTATTTCTTCTTCACGTCATCGCAAGTAAGACTGATACATACGATCCTGAAGCTTTCATGAACTAAAAGTATAAAATAATGTTATTCCAAATTTTGCTGAATCAAATGAAATTATTAAATATTCTCTAAGTAATAATCTGATGCTACGTTTATACAAAATATTCTAACATCATATTTATGTAAAACTGATTAATAAAATATTATTTATACTTAAATCACTAAGTGTAAAACACATATAAATAGCTTACAGTTGTAAAGCTTTCCAAGGAAAGACTAGCAAATTTTCCAAATGTCAAAGTAAATCCTTTTTGACACCTTAATATCACAGGTATCAAAAGTCGAGTTTCTTTTGGACGTATATTGTACCAAAGAAATTTATATACTGTGTCCCCGATCAATTTACTCTAAAATGAAGCGCAATTTAAGAATAAAAAATCAAGCTGTAGAGTAATTCGAATAAATACATTGTATAACTTAATATAACTAGGATTAATATATTTTCATTTTCATTTCCAACGCTCATCAGATTGGTAATTGTGCCATTTTGTCATTGTAATTAAAAAAATGAACTCAAGAATGAAAACTTAACTCTAAAAAATTTGGAAAAATGCGATTAAGAGAAAAGTTTCATATATACTACTGTAAAATTTATTAACGTTTATTGTTAACGTTTTCGTACAATTTTGTTATCTAATTGTAAAATTGATATTTAAGTTCTCGATTATTTTGACATTTCTTATATTTTCTGTAGTAAAAAGAGTTATGTATACTGCAGGAAAATTACAAATTAATTTATAAAGAGAAAAGAGAGGAGACAAGTCTAAAAGTATAAAATAATGTTATTTCAAATTTCAAATAAAATTTAGAATGCCAAAGCAAGCATATCTTATATATTAGATATAAAATACAAAATGTTGGAAAGCTTGAAAAAGATACACATTGATTGATATAGTACTCCTATTACGAATAATAATTCATAAAATTAGAAAGAACCATTTAATTCTTAATTAATTTTATTTTTTTGGATATTCAAAGACATAAAAATGTTTTAAATTGCTTAATGTTAGGATTTTTAATTTGATTTAATTTTATTTATATAAAAAAAATATATATATATATGAAATACGAAATAGAATTAAATAATTTGAATTTTTGTAACATAATATAAATTTATAACAATTTATAGAGTTAATGGAAAAATAACTATTTGAGGAAAAAGGAGAACTATAATTATTAATTGAATTAACTTAGATAAAATTCTATTTTTATATTTCATTGCCTCGAAAGAAATTTTATATATATATATATATATTTTTTTTTTAAATAAATACTCAAACACTAAATTTTACTTTAAATTCTAAATGTTACAGAATATCATAAAGAATTAATTATTAGATTTTTAATTTGGAATACATACAAACATGAATTGAAATTAAATAAGGAAAAAAAGTATTTATAGAGAAAAAAACTGGATAATTAATATTTATTAAAAGTATAGTAATAACTGTTAAGTACCTATACAAGTAAACCTATATACCATGTACAAAAAAATATTTTCATCTGTTAAAAAATTGAGGGAAGGCAGGACAACACTTCAACTCGCTCTCGATTTAAAGCATATGCGAAGATTCTTAAAAATTTAAATAAAATTTACAAAATAAATTTATATTTATAAAAATATTATTGCGGCTAGTACTTATGCTTAAACCACACTCACATCAATTAGGAAAACAGATACACATCTTCCAAGTTAATATTCCTAAGTAAATTCTAAAACTGGGACAACAATTCGATTTGCAACATATTATTCCGAAAGTTTTTCAAAAACTCCAATTTCGAATCTATCAATCCTGAATTCAATCCTAAAAAAAACTAAAAATGAACGTTGTTTTTGATCATATGCGTGAAGCTCGATGAAATCGATGAATTTCTACGATATTCAAAAAACTATTTGTTAGCTTCAATAAATGATTCCACCCTTCGAAATCGGTAAAGATTAAAAAAAAAAACAAAAATTGCAAAATTAACTTCGAATTCAGCAAAAAAATACTAAATTTTTATTGAGTAAAAGTTCTATTAATGTAGGAATATTTATATAGAAAATATAAAAAAAAGTTTTATTTCAATGGACTTGGAATATTATAGATTACTATAACAATACAAATACAAATTTATTTAATTACTGTTTATTTGAATTATTAAATTATTGGTTTTCAATTACAGGCACTTTTATAATGATATTATATGAGCCAATTAACATTCGCCAATTGCTCAATTATCATATGCAAATCGTATTCAATTACTTATTGGAAGTCAATAATCAAATATGCAAATGAATTGATACTAATATCATTGTGCAGAATGTCTGTGAAATGTATTTTTTGATAAGAGATGGAAATACAGAATTTTTTTGAAATAACGAGGAATATCTTGAAAATGTTACGAAATACTTAATTTTAATAATCTCAGAGACAACATATAAATATATCATAGACAACTAGCATAATAAATAATAAACTACGACGTTTATCATGTTTGCAAAATATGAACATACAAACAAATATAAAAATATATCCCAATATTTTTCTTTTTTTTTTTTTGTCAAAATGATTCTGATCTTTCGAAAACCCTTTTAAACAACGAATAATTACGATAGAATAATAAAGAAAATGGAGATATTCACCATATGAAACTTACGAAACATATTCACTAAAAGGATTATTTTATGATTTGATTCGAGCAATTTATCTGAATTTCACAAATATACACAAGTCGAAATAAATTGTCTTGATCAAATAATAATAATAATAATAATTAGCAAACAAATGCTTATATTATTTATTACTTCTGCGAGAATATGAAATATTTACAGTATCTGACATAATTCTGTTGATAAGTTTGAAATACATTAAAAATAATAATAATTCAATAATAAAAGCATATAAAATACTTTACACAATTGCATACATAAAATATGTAAATATGCATGGAAAATATGAGTACGTAATATATTCAACATAGATTTATTGCATACAATTATGTAATATATTACATTATCAAACGTAATACGAGAGGATTTATTTCAATTAGACATAGATTGCATTATCAAACGTAACACGAGAGGATTTATTTCAATTAGCAATTTACTTATGGCAGAACACTATAATTGACTGTGTAATAAATCACAAAATAATCTTTTCACTACATATTTACACTACATAATTGTTGACGTTTATCGGCTATACTGAAAAATATATTTGTTAAATTTTGCCGACTTGTTAAATTTTTTAAATTGGAACTAGGAAATATTAGAGAAGTTTATTACCTTCTAAAATATTTAATATTTAATAAATTAATATTTGTTAAAAATCACGTCATTTTGTTAATAAAATATATCACCTAACACAAATTACACTTATTATTATTGGAATTATTACTTGTTATGCTATGTATGGTAATTATATAAATTATATAATCCGATCAGCTTAATATTTTAATATTTACTAACCTTAATGCTGAGATATTCTCCAGAAAAACAATATACAAATGCATCCAAACAACAAGCTATATACATAACAATACATTTTATGAACATAGCAAATCCACTATTAATACGTAATGACTGTAATAGATTAAATTTCATTTATATAAAGTTTTTCGAACTTCAAAGAGGATTTTTCATGAAAAAAATCAGTTAAATATTTATTAGAATGACTTTTTTAAATTAATTAATCTCATTGTTTGATAGATTGAAAATATACAAAGTATCTACCTATATATACACTTATGTATGATTTCAATTCACTATGGTATTCATATTTTAACATTGAAGTAAGAAATGTCATTCTATATTTTTAACTTTACTTTTTCATGTAGATTCACTCTTTTTCAAACCGTTAATTTAGTTATATATGCATTATTTATTATTTACAATATGATAAATAAGATATATCCTCATGTTAATTATTACTATTGTTAGTATCACTTACAATTACTGTAAGATAGCCCAAACAGCAAGTAATTATAGTATTCGCCACAAGTTGAGTAAGCGCTATGTAAGTAAAGAACTTCTCAATTTTCTCTGCAAATATAATAATCTCTTGATGCCTGCTAATGAAAAACTTCAATTGCTTTTCACTTTTATATGGAGTTTCCAATAACTTTTGACATATAATATCTATTTGACAACCTACATGAAGCACCTAAACACAATGAACAATACTATGAAATAGTTAGATAAAATGAAACAATAGAAATTCATTGAAAAAACAAATAAATACAATAATTATGAAATAGTTAAATAAAATGGGACAATAAAAATATATTATATAGATTTGTAAAAATGTACAAATATTGTTTTTTAGGGAGAATATATTTATATTAAAAAGAGTATTTCGGTGATATAAAAAAAAGAATTTATTACCTAACATTCTTGAAGTCTAGACAACAATGTTTATGGTAGCATTTTAATTTTATATCAGTAATTAAAATTAGATAATAATTAATACAGTTTCAAATACACTATATACAATACTGGATAATTTGGATAAAATACAGATGTAATACCCATGTAATTTTTTATTTTTTCATAAGGTTTTTACTGAATGGTAATTTCGGATCTTATATATGCATATATATGAAATAAACCCATGCATATAAATTTCATATGAATTGTAGCAACTCATTCATTCATTGAATGAAATTTATTATATCCAAATAATTATTTTTTATTTCGTAGATAAATAATCTACTGTTGCAAGTAAAAATATTTTAAAATACAAATAACAAAAAATGTTGTTAAAATTTCTCTTTGTGATAATTTAATTTTAATTTTAATTTAATTTAATTTAAAAACTATATAAATATATTAATTTATAAACTATATTGATACGTGAATAAAATTTTTACGTAAAAAAAAATGTCCAATTACAATAAAACTTCACTTATATGAACTTATCAGAAAACAAATCAATAATAATCCTATTATTATAAGTAATAATTATATATTTATAAGTTTATAATCTATAATAGTCCAAATTATATAATTTCATATAATAAGAGTTTTCCTATCTCTTAATAATTCCTCGATTATATAATAAGAATGCAGATTCAAATAAGTGGATTCAAGAGTTGGTTTAATCGAATATCGATTAAAATTTGGTCCAAATAAAGTCGATATATAAACTGATTCTATCATATATTACCTTCTATTAGAAAATAATATTCTTTTTATTCCATTAAATCGTATTAAAAAAAATATATATTTTTCTTAAATCACAATGAATAAATGAAATTTATTTTTTGAAAAAAAAAAAGAATTATTTTTAAACTACACATCCGAATCAAAAGAAGCACTTTATTGTTAATACTTACTAACATCAAAAGGAAAGCAGTGAATAGGCCATATACGAAAGCTGATGTTACTTGATAAAAGTATTGTGCAAATACTACAAGCTCGAAGACTGGCGACTTGTCAGTATCAAAAGGTAAATCCATCCTTAATAAAAGTTTTCGATGTGTTACGTTACTGTCTTGAAAACTAAAAGCGCCGATCGCATAAAAGACCGTAGATATTACGCTGACACTTATTACAATGGTCGTTGAACGATAAGACCAATGTGCTGTTTTCGATATTACATTATTTTTATCTATAACAGCATATTTTTGGCAGTCTTTCTCCATAGTTGATAAAATACTGCGAAGAAGGCTGTAGAAATAATTTTAAATATTATATCCTTGTGCAGAGTAATATTTGTAATTGACTATTATTTAAGTATTTTATTATGTAAATAGTTCAAAATGCAAAGTATTTTTTCCTGTATAATATACAAAGAATAATTATTTTCCAAGTCCTTTATTCTAAATTATTGATTTTATTATATTGTTACATTCAATGAGAATGGAAAGGAAATTTCGTAGAGTACAGTAAAAAAGAAAACTTACCTTTGATGTGTCCAAGCGATTAACAACCTGATACATACTAAACTGAATGCCAGACAAATGCCTACATTATCTATTATTTCTATAGTGGTATGAATTTTATAATGCTGGATTAAATAATTGTATTGTTGAATATGAAATACACTAAAAATGATCACCCAGTAAAATTTATATAAAACTGAAAGCGGTGCTCCTGGCCAAGCTGCGGCAACATAAAGACCATACTTTACAGGTCGACTAATTGTAGTTGCTGCCATTTCATATCAGTCGATGATTTCCTTTTGTTTCGAACTTTGATTTTCAATTGATAAAAGAATCTCGTCACGTGAGCTATATTTCTCGAACAGCAGTTATTATCACCATTAACAGATTTATAAAATATAACGTCCTTCCGCTGCGCTGCCCTTGAACATTGTGCAACAAAATTATAGTGCTGGCTCAAACTTGTAGAACTTATTCATTATTAACAGCGTTCGCTTCCTATAGTCATAGAAATAATGCAAAAAATATTAAAATGATTACAGGTTCGCTGGGAATAGACACAACCATGAAAAAGTGCTTATGATTACAATTTTATTTATTGAAATGGAGGCTAATTTTCATAAAAAATACACGAATAAACGTACGACATGCGGATGCAGATTAAATTACTTCAGTCACGGCATGAAGAAAATTTCTGGAGAAAGTTTTGGAGAAAGTAGAAAATATTGTAGAGCAAGAAGTTTCATATAAAATTTTCCGAATGTCGTGTACTGTTAAATTGAAATAAAATTCATTGTGTTTTCTTCTATACGTGATATAATTTAATGTTCTATTTTCAAATAACAACATCAATAACAAAAATAATAATAACAGCAATAAAGAAAAAAGAACTAAAAACGTGTAAATACATGGCTATCAATATGGAGTTCTATCTTTATTCAAACTCAATAAAAATAGATAGAAAGTAGGCACTTTTGCTTTATATTTTATTCCCAAAAATTCAATAAAAAGAATTCGCATTCAATGCTCTTAAAAAAATAGAACAACATGCATGCATTTATTTGTATTTCAAAAGTGATAACACATAAATGTGTTTCTTGCAAATAAACGAAAAAAAAAAATGGACATTAAAAAACAGTGATTGAAACTAAGAAATAAAATTAAGTAATAAATTCGATACAAAATATATTCCTGTTACTAAAATGTCACTAAAATTATGAAAATTCATCTTGTTCCATTTTATTGGCTTTGATTCTAATTGTAAGTCTATTATAAAATACTTGATAGAACTAGTGTAATATGAAATGAATAAAATCCAAAATATTAGAGTGATGTATAAAAGACTGTTCTATTTATATATTACCTAGTTTGCAACTAATAGAAAAATGTTTGATTTGTTGACAATCAGTTTTATTCAAGTAAATATATATTATTTGTATTGTGAAGTAAATGAATTAAAAGTTTGTCGTGTTATAAAATCTAATATGAAATAATGGACCAAAATATAACAAAACAAATAAAATATTTTTCTTATTCTATTCAAAAATACAGTATTTGGTCAAAAATTTTCATTCCGCATGATTTAAAATTAAATTTTTTTTTTAATTTTTTCATTCATTTATTGGTCAATTTCAAAATTATTTCAATAAAGTTTTATCTTGAACTAAAACATAATATTGGAAATAGAAGAGAACAGAAGAAGAGATCCGCATCGTCAATTAACATCTTTACTATCGTTAATATTACTTTGCAAACTTATGTTATAACATTCTGATTTTATTCATAAAAATTATTCATTGTTCGTCTATTGTACTCAAGTATGCTGAAAATAAAAGAACGAAATGAAAAAGTCCTAGTCATAGAAACAAAAATATTAAAATAACGAATCAGAATTTCTTTGGAAAACATATGAGTTTCAAAAATATAAAGAAATAAAAACATAAAATTCGATATTTCACTCTAGTTTATTAATGACGAAAAAAAAAAAAATTGTTTATTCTATGAAACAATAATATTGCTTAGTGTTTTATCAGAACAATATGAGAATTTTCGCGCAGCCGAAATTCTTGATACTATAATTAATAGAATAATGAAAAAGAAATAAATAATCTATAAATAAAAAATAATCTTTAGTTCTTATAGTCTGTAAATAAAAACTATGCACTATATGAAATCAAGTAGGTCTTGTCGAAATGAAAATATGTTCAAAGGCATATGTTACAAATGCAAAGATATATGACAAAAATACAATATTATGTTAAAACCAATATTCAAAGAAACATCTTGTACACAAAGAAGATACGATGAAAACAGAAGTGATGTATATATGTTATTTTACCAAGTTCTATAATGTAAACGAGTAACACAGAAACAAGATAGCTGTTAATTCAAAAGATCTTGGTTATGAGAATAAATAATAGTTAATTAAGGCAGATATACGCACCATGTCCCCATAGGAGTTCACATTACCTACTATGCCGACTGTTGATAAAAGGCATTGGACCCGCACGCTAAGGCTCGCGTTTGGTTCCATGGCCTCCAGCGATCGCGACGAGAATGGTCATTATTTTTTGTGAAGATGTAATAACGAAGAAGGAGAGGAGCTGAAAGGAGAACAATCCAGTTAAACAGGGAAGGCGGAGCAAAAGAACTATGTCTGAATGTCGCATCACTCTACTGCCCCCAGCTGAAGACAGCGCGACGACCCAGAGACATCTAGGGTCCCTATTCCTAGGCCGCCATGGTTGCCACGGACAAGCGCCGAAGAGAATCACCAGGTCCCCTGCCCATAGAAAAGAAGAAAGAAGCGGGGCCATCAGCTCCTCCCAAGAAAAAAGCACAAATTCCCACAGGGTCAGCAAAGACATAGGTGAGGGCCTTTGCCCTGAACCAGAGGCCCCGCGGAAGAGCGACTCCAGGTGTGGCCCTCGGTACCGCTATGAGAAAAAATAACAAATGAAGAGGGGGCCTCCATCTGCCTCATCGAAGTAATTCGTGAGGAACCACCGGAGTTCAGTCTCAATCTGGAGCTTCCTTAGTAAGGAAAAGAAAAATCACTGTGGAGATTTTAGTCGGTGGAAATCCGACTACCTGGTCTCCTCTCCTCAAAGAAACCAAGTGTCTTTTGGTATGTATCAGACTTCTATGATAATTTAATTTCATTAATAAGAATATCCAATAGTGAATACAACACGATATTTCATAAATATAGAACGAAGAAATAGTAGAATAATGTTTACTGCCAAATATGAGAATGAAGATTTATTATATTATATTATTATATCTGTTACTGAAAAAAAAATAGAAGATTATATCAGATTATATATTTTAATTTAAGTGAAAAAATTGAATATGTTAACACTTAAACGACCGGTTATTTAATTTGTTAAATTCATTATTAGCAAAGTCAAAATATACGCTTGAAAAGCTAAAATCAAACTGAAAGATAATAAACGATAATTTAACACTTTTCTCAGCGGGATATGACAATTGTATGTAAGAAATTATTTGTTAGAACTATCGTTATAAAACGTACGATTTTTTTTATTTTAATAAATGTCTCTATTTATTTACATTAATATTTTTAAAGTATTATTTAAAGTGTATGTGATGGAGTGTACAATGTTGCACATTACAAAAATGCAACGCCGGTTGTTTAAGTGTTAATTGCAGATATTGATTTACGTATAACGTGAAATAAAAGCGAAAATTCAGCAAATCTCACCTTTCATCCAAGAGAAGAATTTTAGACTTGATTATTTTAGACTCAGATATCTGTAGTGCAATGAGCATTGACTCATTTAATGAAGTAAAATATTTTACTTTATAGATGACAAAACTCGCCATATGAAAATTGTTCGCGCACTATACTTACTTGAAAGCAATGTTAACTCATGGAACTCCACTTGACACAGTTAGTTCAGTTCAAAGAATGTTCACACATAGTGCACTTCATTACGAAACACAAAGTCGGACAAAGACTGATAATCTTATGTAATAGATTAGCAGATTATACTGCTTATCACGTGTTACTCTCAAATTATAGAAGAATGCTCGCAAGGCAATCTGTATCAATTGGTCAAATAATTTCTTCCCGATAAGCGAAGAGTGTCCCTTATCAGTATCAGACGAATTCTCTACTGTATGCAAGCTGTAATTTACCGGATGCAAACAACTTTTCTCTTCCTGAGTCGATAGAAAGTTGAGAAGAACTCTCTCGTTTCCCTTTCCATTCAGTTTCAGAAGTTGTTGAGTCTCAAAATAGCATTTCTGCAAATGGCATTTCTTGTCAATTCAGCACGTGAGCGTGTTTTGTTTAAACATATCCGGGAACTTCGATTGAGAGGATGCTTCATAGATTATGGCACGCTATACGTTATTCAAACGCGTTAAAATCAAGTTTTAATGAGTTAGCAAAGCCTCAATCCTCTTACTAAATTTTCTCTTCAAATGTAGCATCAGCTGTGCCATAAATCAGGATATCACTACAAGTTCCAGAATAGAAATGTTCCATGTTGAAAAAGAAAAATTAAACATATTTTAAATATTTGAAATATACGAAAAGTATAGTGGGGTAACAAACGAGTCATAAGATCAAAAGGAAAATACGTCCTGCGAATTCAATGTATTTCTAAGTGCTGGAGACAGATAGTAAGAAAGTTAAGAATTCAATTCAACACACCACAGAAGAATGGTAATGCTGAAAAGGCAAACCGAAATATTAATCGAAATATATACTAATAAAGTCTGCTTTTCTGTGAAGTTGCAAGTATCCTGCAAGAACTCTAAAACTTGATGACGCTTGAATAGAACGTAGACGATATGTCAATTATCTAAAAAAAATTTGAATAGTTTGAGAAATAGAAATAGAAATAGAAGTCGTTAACGAAGTTTCTTGCTAAAAGTATGAAATGTACAATGATAAGGTATGAATCAATATAAACTTATAAACTTAATAAATCTGTGATATGTGTTTCTTCGAGCTATAATTACAGAAGAGATGAGGGCACATTTGATACTATTGGCAAATTGACGCATTATAATACCAATTGCTCGATAAAAAGAAGGTAAACATTAACTAACTAAAGACAATGAGTAACAATTATGAGCAAGTATGAAGAAGTATAGAAACACCAAGAAGAAGAAGAAGAAGTATAGAATGACAATAATGTAGAACGAAGAAAGATTAAAGAAGATTACAATAGCAAGCACAAAAACTCCAGAAAAATCATAAACTATGAAAAATAATAAACAGAGGTTTGTGACATAAGCTATGAAAGTTTATGAAAATTGCAGCTATGAAAAAAATTTTCATCAAACTCAAGGTGTAAGTATAATCAATAAAGTTAAGCTGATAACGAAGAGACAAGACCAACATCATGAGTTAAATTATATGAAAAGTTTTCGCTCCAGTAGCAGTCATTCTTGAGAAAGAAATATACAGAATGGAAGCCTACATTCAAGGATATCTTGAAAATAAGATATACAGAGTGATTCACGTAACTACATGTAACTACAATTCCTCCTTTAGAAGGGGTAAAAAAAGCCAGATAAAGGAGAAAGTCAGTTCCATATAGTCATTAGATAGAGTCAGTTCCATATAGTCAACATTTAGTTATTTTTGTACAACATTCTTGCCCAAGCAATTGCATTGGAGCCACCAGGCTCAATAGTCAATAAAGTCAGAATCAACAAATTAGTTTCATTTCATTCCCACATCAGTGGATGGTCCTTCGAGCAATATGCAAAGGTGCAAGAATGACAGCAGTCGTGATTGACAACAAAAACTATACAACAAACTTATTCTTAGTTTTCTCTTTAGAAGAAATCATATTAGAGTTAATCCATGTTTCAGTAACCAAAATTTCATTTATGACAAAATACAGTCCACTAGTTGTGGAATCAGATTTCTTTGTGATTCCAGATTCATTTTGTAAATTAGTAAAAAAAAGTATTCCACATTAGGGCAACTCACCCTACTTATTAATATACCGCAGAAGGGACTATCAGTAATTACAATTAGTTATTCGACACATGAAAATAACTGATTTCTGATTAACGTCCCAAGAAATTTCCAATCTTATAGGCTATGTACCTTCTTGTTAGTCTTAAAAATCACTAGGAAAGAAATTGTTTGAGATGTTAGATTGGTACCAAGGACACATCTCAGTATCTACAACGAATTTTCGACTTGATTCCTTGATGATGTAGCCCTTTCAACAAAATGTAAAGGAAATCTCTAAAGCACAAGCTGTAATTCTGACTGAATCCTACTTGTGTAAGTAGGATTGTAATTCTACTTGAATGACGTTTCTCAGGCACTTTCTCATCAGTGATTGCAAGGACACCAATTGAGAATCTATTTTCATTGTTCTGCAACTCTATTAATGACTTGAATGTATATCACAGGGACTGGAACTATTCTTAGAAATAGATTTCCCCTGATCCTAACTGTTGATGTTGAATTTGATGTGGAAGTAGTGGTTTAAGAGTCAAATGCTGCTTAAATAACTTTGGGGATCCTCCAATTGATGTTAGCATATGAACAGTATTCCACTCGTTGGATGAATGTTCTACCAGATCCGCATTTAGGTAGTTATAGTTATATTTAGATAACTGCAACTTATTGGTATCTCAACTTCAACACAGATGATAGACTTTCATATTAAACACTTTAAAAAATATTATGATGCATGATAATATAGTTTCAATCCCTGAAATCAAAGAGCATTAATAAAATGTACTTATAAAAATTAAAAATAAATAAATAAATTTATATATGTACACACGTGTACATAAAAATAACGTTTTAAATTTGAATATATAATTAATTTTAAGTTGATTATGTGTATTATATTTCAGGTATACAATTGCAAGTAATAAAATTATTAATATAAACAGGTAAATATAATCTACTTTTTATTGTTAAAGATGTTTATATTTTATTTTTTTATATATATCACAATAATCGTAGTAATCCAGGAAACAATAGCTCAAGTTCAAATCAATTGTATACTTATATCATCATAATTCCACATTGAAGTAGACGTAATAATGTAATAGATTATAATTGTATCTTTCAATATACTGCAAGAAGTACCGACATATATGATGCTGAGATCTTCATAATCTATAAACATATAAAAGATAAAAAGCGTCAGAAATCTTTGTCTATTAAATAAATGATATTTCCAATAAAATAAAAGGAACAATCTTTGTGATGTGAAAAATTGTTTGTTTAAATAATACAATTTTTATTCTTTTGCGAAAAGGCAAAGAATGAAAGAATTTTCATTAATATTAAATATCGAACCACCTTCGTATAAAAGAAATATTTAAAAACCTCGTTTATACGAACTAGTTAACACTCTTTCTTTTTTAATACTATATAATATAAATACAATCTGTAAAATTAAATTCAGACGAATCACTGAAATAAGCTATTCGAAACAGGAAGGACACATGTCCTAAAATGTAAAATAAACATTGTTTCGATGTTACAATTTATGTAATTTGGTTGATTTATTTTACATTCGGATAATCAAATTTTGGACAATCGATGTTTCAGATGATCAGCGTTAATCAGTATTTTGTGAAAATAGCATATATGTATAGATTCATATTGTACTGATTATAATCTTTTTTTTTACAAAATTTATTCTAAAAAAAGTAACATTGACGGATTTGGAATTAATTTAATCTCCTCAAAGTTTTAAGCTGCAAAAGTTGCATATATATATATATATGTTTTACATATTTCCACATTACAAGTTCATAATTTTCTAAATTTTGGCGGTCTTTCCTTGCAAGTATATTATCATAATATAGTAAATGGATAAAAATCATTAAATATAGAAAATAATTAGCTTACGTTTGTGAAACTTTCCAACGAAAGGCTTGAAAATTTTCCAAAGGTCAATGTGAAACCTTTTTGAGACCTTAATATAACAGGTATTAGAAGTTGGCTTTCATTCGGACGTAAATCGTACCAAAGTAAATCGTACGCTGTGTCACCGATTAACTGGCTCTGAAAATGAGATAAATATTTTAAATATTAACAATTAATTTGATTATACGTACACACAAAATGGAACATTTCAATGAGGTATAATGAATTGCATTTATAAATATGCAATAAATCAAAAAAGTCTCTTTTATATCTTTTTAAGTTGAAAAAGTATATATATTAATATGAAATGAAATATCTTCTGTACGAGTTTATTTTAAATGCATGTCTATATTTTAAATGATGAGTTCTACACATTAAAATACGTAAAAGAATATCATATCAAGTCACGTCCTACATATCTTAATTTTTAAATTACAGATCATTTTTAATTAAATTAATTGTTTAAATTGAAGAAAATAATTAATGTGTTTTATTTTACTTCAACATACAATGTTACTGTATGCCTTAGCATTGAATTCTGCACTCGAAAATACCAACTATTTCTCGAATAATCTGAAATCCATTCAACTGTTTCGACCGCGCGCACATTTAATCATTTCTTAATTGAATTTCATCTTAATTGAATACACAGTAAATTTTAAGTTACATCAGAAATGAAAGTTTAATGGACTGAGTTTAACTTACATCAATGGATATTAATTTTACATTAAATTTTGTAAATTTACATAAACAATTTACGTGCAATAAATTTACAAATTTTGTAAATTTGTACATTAAATAAGATTTAGTCGTATTACAACACATCGAACATTTTCTTTAAAACATAGATTTTAAAAGCAATAGAGAATCAATTTCTATTCATTTTCATTCGATACCTTTTTGCAATATATAATAAAAGGAGAGACACAGAAGAATTCGAAATATTAATAACTGTTAATTTTTATGTTTTGTGTTTATGATATCGTGATATGATTTATTAATATTAGCAATAATCATGTTTTGACAATCTTGAATTAATATTTTGAATCCTCTGTGTTTTCCTTCGATTATGCACATATTCAGTATGTATTAAAAGATTCACTTATAAAATTGAAACAATAAATGAATAATAATGAAAATTTATTTTTCATCGACATGATTGCATTCAGAACCATATGTTCATGCAATAAAATTTTTATTTCTCTCAACAAATACTGTTAGTTCAAGTATATTCGGACTCTTTTTTTTTTTAATATTCTATATTATTAATAAACTAATGTAGAATAATGATTGACTGGTGTAGAATAATATGTAGAATATAGATTTATATTACTTGTTATTTATTTAATTAATTGTGTTTCATCATTCAAAGTATGGTCATGCAGTTAAGAACATGTATTCTTGTAGAAATCTCAACAATGTAATTAAAGAAAGTTAGAAAAAAAGAGGAGTTAAGAAAAAATAAAAAAGGTATTGGTATAATTCTTCACTTATTCATCTTAACGAGATTTTATAATTGAATACAAATTTGAAAAAAACTATGTTTATATCAGCATAGGTTGACAAAATTGGAAATTATTTTTCTGCATACGACAATATAATATGAACTTATGTCACCATTACTTTCCCATAAATATATATACTACGTACTCGTTGATAAGACTTATAATAATAAGAAATCAATATTATCATTTGAGAATGATAAATCAGAAGGTTTTGTTTCCATTATTATTGAATTAAATATCGAATAATTCTAATTAAATGTAAGCAATACCCACACAAGCAACGTTCTATTGAATTCCACAATAGCTATAACGAAATTAGAAGTAGAAAAATCTCTGTTTTGTAAGTTTTGTATCGTTGTTTATAACCATTTTGTAACATCTGATTACACCAATTACTTGCACAAATTAAGAAGAAAAACTATGAAAAATAATATTTTAGCGAGCAATGCATGCAATGTTAATTAAAGAATGATTTACATAGCGCATCCTTGTGAAGGAAGCAATATTACTCAAAAAATATGATTTTCGAGATATCATTATAAAAATATTGCAGAGATAGTAGTCTTTAATCAGTTATAAAAATCTTATTCGTTGATCTTTATAATATGGCCAGTAAAAGATTTGATATGTAACACTATGCTGTATTTTATAAATACTATCATTGTGAATTTTGTTTTAATAATATCATCGTGAACAAATACATTGACAATGTTAAAATTGTATTATTTTAAATTACATTGTTTCTTCAATTAATAATATAACATCTAATTCTGTTTCAAAACTAGTTTCTCATTTCTTCTGAAAAACATATTCTTTCAAATTGTGTTATTTTCTTTACAAGGCTCTGATACATAAATTAAATAATTTTAATCAGACATTTCTATACGATTAATTATAAAACCATCATTCCTTACTATTACAACACTAAACTTCTTTCAGTGAACATTGAATTGTATTATAACTCCAGAATTAAATCCAATACCTATAAAAGTAAATTAATTTAATCTCACACATTTTCATACAAAAAAATTTTCATACAAAAATTAATACATATTTTGAACAATCATAACATAACGTGATATTTGTTTATAAAAGATCGAGACAATGAAAATCTACGACATTCGTATTTTTCTATTTCTTATGTTTAGTGCTTCTACTATTTTAATCATAAGAAGCTATAATTATCCATTAAACATTTTTTGTCTCTGAAATCCTACTGATTGTAAGTTCTTAAATACGTATATAAATAAATATATTTAAAATTATAAATAAATATAATTATAAATAAATATAATTAAATAAATAAATATAATTATAAAATTAAGAAGATATTTATTCGAAAATGCGTCATTCGATGATGATAAAACGAATACACTTAAGTGTACTGTACTTAAAAATATGTTAGGCATAGTAAATATTATTGCTTAGAGTTAAGTA